ATGGTTAAGCGTCTGCCTTCGGCTCAGGTCATGATCCCAGGGTTCTGGGATCGAGTCCCGCATCGGGCTCCCTGCTAGGTGGGGAGCCTGCTTCTCCCTCTGCCTCTGCCTCTCTCTCTCTCTCTCTGACTCTCATGAATAAATAAATAAAACATTTAAAAAAATGCTAGGATTGAGTCTTTTAAAAAAATATTTTAAATTGACATAAAATGTTTCAAACAGTAGAATTTCTTTTTTTTTTAAAGTAAGATTTATTTATTTTAGAGAGAGAGAGTGCACATGAGTAGGGGGAGGGGCCGAGGGAGAGGGAGGAAGAGAATCCTCAAGCAGATTCCCCTCTGAGTGTGGAGCCTGACTTGGGGGCTTGATCGCAGGACCCCAAGATCATGCATGACCTGAGCTGAAGCCAAGAGTCGGCTGCTTAACTGACTGAGCCACTCAGATGCCCTAAACAGTAGAATTTCTTTTTTTTAATAAAGATTTTATTTATTTATTTGACAGAGAGAGACACGGCGAGAGAGGGAACACAAGCAGGGGGAGTGGGAGAGGGAGAAGCAGGCTTCCCACAGAGCAGGGAGCCCGATGTGGGGCTCGATCCCAGGACCCTGGGATCATGACCTGAGCTGAAGGCAGACGCTTAACGACTGAGCCACACAGGGACCCCTAGAATTTCTAATACAAAACCTGAAAACAAACCTTCTGTGTAGTTTTGAGGACTTGAGGAGACATGGTCACTGCAGACATGGTCCCTGTTCTCCCAGAGTTTAGGATAGTGCCATGCACACAACAAATCTTTAATAAATGTCAAATGAGTAAGCTTTTAGATATTGGTGAAGTAGAACTTCAATGCTTACCAGAAACTGGCAAAGTTTTCAGAAGCTTTTTATGTTCCTTGTCTGTGATCTTTATTCCCATGTCTTTCAGAACATTTTTCAGGTCCTCAGTAGGAATCTTCTCTCCTTTAGAAAGAAATACATATACATAAGGAAACATCCTTCCCAGGTAGGGTTGTGAGGATGAACTAGGCATAATGAAGCCTTGTTTAGCTATTCAGAATCAAGGTGGGGGGGGAGTCAGAAATTCTTCTTTTAACCTAAGAGGATATCTTCAATGATAAGATGATACCATATATAATAAGTAAAGCAGGGATTATATAATTTCTTAGTAGTTTAGCTGTGTTTGATGGATAACAATTCAACCACAAATATAACATCTGTATTCTTTTCTTTCTTTTTTTCCTCTTCTTCTTCTTCCCTCTTCTCATTCCCTTCCTCTGGGCCTCCCTGCCCCCTTCCCCTTCCTTTTCTTCTTTTACCTGAATTATGGGACTAGTTTTAAAAATGATAATAAAAGCTGGCTCTCTGTAAAAATTTTCACCTTGACTAAATTAGTATTTACATGATTTACACTGTAAGCTGGGCATATCAGATAGGGGATAAATTTGAAATCACATTTTTAAAAATCTGCTGAAAAGAAAGCATAGAAACCATAAGGACAAGAAATCAGGGAAAAGAATGGGCTAATCTGGAAAAGAGTTAAAAACAATATCTAGAAATAAAAACATAGTTATTGAAATTAAAATCCCAATGGACAAATAGTACAAGACACAGTTGTAGAGACAGTGAACTGGAAGAGAGGTTTAAGAAAAGACAAAAACATAAAAATAGGGAAAATATGAAAAGAAAGATATGAAGAGCAGAATGAGAAGGTTCAACATACATGAACTAGGAGTTTCCAAAAGTGAGAAAAGAGAAAAAAAGAGAAAAGGCAATAGTTGAAACATGAGGTCTGAGAGTTTCCAAAACTTGGTGAGAGGCATAAATGTTTAGTTTCAGGAATCACAAGTTCCAAGCAGGAAAAATGCAAACAATCTACACTTGGCCACATGAGAATGAGAATTTCAAAGATAGAGATAATCTTAAGAGTAACAAGAGAAAAAGAGAGTAACTCTAAATAAACAATGAAGACTTACAGCTGACTTTTAACAGCAAAAAGAGAGGCCAGAAAACAGTGCGTATATGAATCTATCATCTTTCTGCCTATCTATATTCGTGTGTATTTTCTTCTTTCTCCTTTTTGCCCCTTTTAAATTTAATTACAAGTTTATTATAGGTTAACCTTACAAGTTGGTCTTCAGGTTACAGAATATCCAGATGGGACTGTAACTAAATTTGAGAACTAACATAGCCCAGAGATAGTATGACTGTCTCCCACAGATAGACTGTTGGAACTTTGCTTCTCCTCATTCTGGGGAGAGAAAGAGGACATCTTCATTTGTATGAAGGGAACATGGAGTTGTTTTGTTGTTATATGGAAGTTAAGTTCAAATATGTGCAGAAGGGTCCACAGCGGAGTAGCCAAGAAGGTAAACTATTTCAGTGATTTAATGATTTCCTCTCAGCTCCAATTCCACCATTGTAAACTCTGCTTTGTGATGCTGAGGCCAGGACTCTAGACCACATTTCTCTTTGGATAGCTGGTTCCATATTAAACTCTGCCAGTGGGTGGGTAGTGGGAGGGGGGAGAGAGAGAGACTGAAATGTTGTCAGATGAAGTTCCTTCCCATAGCAATAGATGAATCCAGTTTCAGTTTTTCAACCTTGTGGAACCACTGTCATTACACTCTTCAGAGATAGTAGCAGCTCCCTTCAGAGTTCTAAGGTAGAATGATGATCTACAAGTGCAGACATAGTCAAAGAATGACTCAAGGCTGAGTGTAAAATAAAGATATTTTCAAAGACTAACCCTTGTTGAAATGACCAAGAAGGATGTACTTCAAGAAGAATGAAACTGAACCCAAAAAAGAGTAAAAGTAAAAAGCAATGGTGAACAAAGAGAGTGGTAAGTGTATTTAAGTTTTGTGAAAGATTGGATTGAAATTGCTCTGCCCTTGCTTTCAATATACTCACTTGGCAAAAGCTCATTCCTGTTTAAATACAAGTTCGTGCTTACTCTGTGCCTGCAGCCAGGCAGCTGAACTAGAGCTGAAGTGTTTTGTGCTGACTGTTCTCATTTTAAATGGATGATCGTGAACCTCAGGTGAGTCCTTGATTCTGCTGGGCAACCACACTACATTTTGCTGATGTATTAACTTTCCTGCTCTTCTTGCTGACTACTTCACTTCTTTTTTTTTTTCAAACCACCACTTCCTCCTCTTCCATTTGATCAAAAATTCTTTTATCTCTTTAATTAAAAAAAAAACAAAGCCTTCTCTTGACAACTTTCACCAGTTTACTTGCCTCTTTGTTCCACTTCTTTGATTCCCTTTGCAGCAAAATTTCTCAGGTATTCACTGTTTCTAAATCCTGTCTTCCCATTTTCTCTTTTTTTAAAAAAAATTTCATTTAAATTCCATTTAGTTAACATATACTGTATTATTAGTTTTAGGGGTAGAATTTAGTGATTCATCAGTTGCATGTAACACCCAGTGCTCATTACACCAAGTTCCCTCCCAATGCCCATCAACCAGTTACCCCATCCCCCATCTCCCCTCCAGCAACCCTGTTTGTTCCCTAGAGTTAAAAGTCTTTTATGGTTTGCCTCCCTCTCTGTTTTTATCCTATTTGATTTTTCCTTTCTTTCCCCTATGTTCATCTGTTTTGTTTCTTAAATTCCACATATGAGTGAAATAATATGGTATTTATCTTTCTCTGACTGACTTATTTCGCTTAGCATAATACCCTCTGGTTCCATCCACATTGTTGCAAATGGCAAGATTTCATTCTTTTTGATGGCTGAGTAATATTCCATTGTGTGTGTGTGTGTGTGTGTGTGTGTGTGTGTGTGTGTGTGTACACATGAGATCTTCTTTATCCATACAATGGACATCTGGGCTCTTTCCATATTTTCCATATTTTGGCTATTGTGGACATTGCTGCTATAAACATTGGAGTGCAGGTGCCCCTCTGAATCACTATGTTTGTATCCTTTGGATAAATACCTAGTAATGCAGTTGCTGGGTTGTAGGGTAGCTCTATTTTTAACTTTTTGAGGAACCTGAATACTGTTTTCCAGGGTGGCTGCACCAGTTTACATTCCCACCAAGAGTATAAGAGGATTCCCCTTCCTCCACATCCTTGCCAACATCTGTTGTTTCCTTAGTTGTTCAGTTTAGCCATTCTGACTGGTGTGAGGTGGTATGTCATTGTGGTTTTGGTTTGTATTTCTCTTCCCATTTTCTCTTAAACTCACTACAGTCAGGCTTCTTTCTACCTTCATCACCTGAAACTTCTCTTTTTGATATCACTAATGGTATTTTGTGATTTGAGATCACTAATGTGGCTATATGCAATGGTCACTTCTCAGGTCTTATCTTAGTTGACCTATTGATCTGTTTGACTGTTGATTTGCCCTCCTGGCTGATACTTGTAGCAGATACTATAGATGCCCTGATCATATCTCTTCAACCCTTACCAGTTCAATGCATGCTAGCCCAAATTTTAATTGCTGGCATCTCTTTGTCTGAGGAATTTCTTTGGTTGCCAGAGTTCACTCTGCTAATGCTCAATGGCTGGAAATGCCAGTGGAGTAATATTGCCTCCCTCCCCTTGAGCACTTCTCAACCAATGACTGATAGGGGTTGGTGTAAAAATAACCTAGCTCTCCCACTCCCCTGAGGTTGTGTTCTCTATCATTTCCCAGATATTCTCCAATGGGATTAAGTTTCAGTTACCTTCTTTGTAACTTGCCTGATAAACACATACTTTATTTGCTGCCTTCATTCATGTCTCACTTCTCTACTCCCCTATCTGTGTTTCCTGGGCTCACCTCCCATGTATACATGCTCCTTTTCTCAGGGTTTGTGTCTGGGGGAAACCAACCTAATATACTTATTTGGCTTTCAGGACACCATATTCTCTTGGTTTTCTACCTACTTTACTGGTCACTTTTTCTTGGTCTCTTTTGCTTTAACATTTAATGTTGAAGTCCTCCAGTATTACTTCTTAGTTCTCTTTCCTTCTCCATATATATTCACCCCTTGGGTGAATTCATTCAATCTCATGGCTTTAAATACCATCTATATACCTATGGCTTTCAATTTTATATTTTTAGCTAAGATATCTTTCTTGAAGTTGTGACTATCTGGTAACTTTTTAGCTGATATCTCTATTTCTATTGATATCTTAAAATATCTCAAACTGAACTCCCAATTTTCTTCCATCTAAACTTGTATTTCTAGCAACTTTCTCCAGACTCCAATGGCAAGTCCATCCTTTCAGTTGTTCAAGACAAAAATCTCAAGGGTCATTCCTGACTTCTCCCTTTATCTAGTTTCCATGAGGAAACCCTGTTGACGCTTTTTATTATTTTTTTAAATTGAGATATAATTGACATGTAACATTATTTTAGTTTCAGGTGTACAACATAATGGTTTGATATTGGTTTAAATTATGAAATGATCACCACAATAAGTCTAGTGAAATCCATCACCACAATAACTCTTTTAAAAATATACCCAGAGTCCAGCTACTTTTTATCATCTTCACAGCGTTGCCCTGGTATGAATCACCATCATTTCTCACATGGATTACTTTAAAAACCCATTTAGGGCTCTACTCCCTACTCCTCCCCCTCCCTGAGTCTCCACACAGAATCCAAGAAAATCTAATGAAAACAGGTCAGATCATATCATGCCTCTGGTCTAAAACCTGCAATGGCTTTCCATTTCTGTCAGAAAAAAGCCCAAGTCCTGGCAGAGCTTTCACAGTCCTGACTAATCTTACATCCATCACTTCTCTCTCCTGATCTCCTATTACGTTTTTCCTTCCTTATTCAACCTCAGCTACATTAGCCTTCTTGCTGTTCCTTGAGTAGTCCAGGCATGCTCCTGCCTTTGGGTCTTAGTCCGTGTCCCTCTGCCTACAACTCTTTTTCTAGAAGTCTCCATATGGACAAAACCCTCACCTCCTTCAAGTATTTGCTCAAATGTCACCTTCTCAAGGAGGCCTGATTATCTGTTTAAAGCCTCAAGTGCCTCTTTCCCCTCCCAATCTCCTTTAGTCTACTTTTCATTGTTTTCTATAGCATCTATCACTTTCTAACATACTTTAAATTGACTTATTTATTATGTTTATTGCTTATTTCCCTTGCTAGCATATAAGCTCCAGGGGAGCAATGATCTTTACTCTGTTTGCTGATGTATCCTGTCTAGAACAATGCCTGGCATGTAGTAAGTGCTGAGGAAACAGTTGTTAAATGAATAAAGGAGGGAGTAAACACTATTTGTTAAAAATATAGTTCCATATAAAACTTTAAGACCACATAATATAATACTCATTTCAACATCTTACTCACCTGTGATATTTTTAACTTCATTCACCAACACATTTAAGTCAATCTTCCCATTGGCTTTAAGATAAAAAAGCGCCAAAAAGGTTTTTAGAAAAATTGTGAAATAGAAACCCAAAATTCAACCATTTAAAAACATTTTTCCTAGAAGTTTAACTTAATATAGCTCCTGCATTTTATGCTATCAAAATCCATACAGCATAATACATGAATAAGGTTTAAAACATTCTCCTTTCCTTCAAGACAATCTACTATTTATTAGGCTACTCTTTTCAGGCATGGGTCTGAAATGTTTTGAGAGTTTAAAAATTTTGTTTAAAAATGATGTTTCCATTTTGCCAGTGCTGACTTTACCTTTGGGCTTATGATCACCTTAGCATCAAGTGATTCTTTTAAAGGACAGAGTGCTGGTATGCATGCCTGGCTGCTCTTAGGTTGCCAACATGATAATCATCATGTTGATATATTCAGTTAAATTCCCAGGTATTATGACAAAACTTTTGTTTTGCAGTACCTATTCTCAATTGAGAGACTTTTTTCATAGATGATGCACTTAATTTCTTTAGTCTATTTCTCAAAGTCTGAAGTTATTAGAAGTCAATGGATACATTTTTAGTAGTTTGTAAAATTGCAAGTTTGAGAAACACTGGATTGCAATGTTAAGATAGTAGTTAAAAGATGCTATTGCTCTAATAGGCAAGATTCTGTTTGGAACCTTAAGCTGCCTACGGACATACTCATTCTCCACTTATAACTTGGTCAAGGGTGCCAGTCCATCACTACTCAAACATGTTCACACTCTTATTTTATGTGTAATAATAATCCTAAGATTATAAATTCCCCCAAAGGGTGAGAAATCAAGAATCACTTTGTACTCCTGCTATTACCTCAGCATTGCTTTAAGGGTCTGCACAAAATTGATGATCCATAAATGTTTACTTAATAATTAAGTTCCAGTAAAATGCAAATATATTATAAAGAATGAATTGGCTTTAAAACCAGTACAAATATTCCAGGTTCCCAGATATGGAATTTTTCCTTGCTTGTTCTTTTTTATGTCTTTTCAATTATGATAATCTTTTATTGGTATCCTATTATAATTTTATAGCATTTATTATTATTATTATTGTTATTATTAATATGAATACCATTATATTATGAATTTTAAACAGGATAAGGAAGAACCATTAGTGGAGAATATTCTGTGCCTGTAAAGGACAGATCCCTCATGTCATTTACTTTGTATGTCTCTAATCAGCTCCACTGAGGCCCACTGGGCCCCTGAAACAGTTTTGCATTCTATCTCAAATGATTCCACAGATATACAAGGTAGTCCACAAGAATTATATTAGAATTAGTCTCACACTTTAAATCATTGTGCTGGTATCTTTTCTCATGTTTCAGAATACTTAGAAAAACAAGGCAATGACAAATATCTGCATTTATTGAACTGGCTGGTAGATTAAAAGAGCTATGAAAGGGATTAAAAAAAACAAAGAAAAAGTCATTTCTGGAAAATCCGCTTACTTCTTTTTAATGCAAAGGATCCGAGGGTCTAGAACAGTGCCTGACACATCATAAGCATTCAGTTAAAGTTTATGGTATAAAAGAATGGAAGGTACTACTGATTTAGAAAAGCCCATATTCATTGACTTGGATCAATCTTGTATCTTTACTAGTTCCTCAAGGGGACAGGTGTCTCTTAAAATTTCCTCAGGAAGTTTCCTCAGTTCTACTAGCAGGAGTCTAATATATGCCAAGTTTAATTAATTACATTAAGTACTGCTATATATCTTCTTAAATTTATTAGTTCTGGTAGTTGATGGCAGTATAGCAGAGTGGCTAAGAGTTTCTGGAGCCTGATTGCCTGCCCACCACTTACTAGCTCTCTGACTAGGCACACTACTTGACTTCTCTGTGCCTTAGTTTCCTTATATGTAAAATGGGAGTAAAAATAGAACCTGCCTTGTAGAGTTGTTTGCAAGATTAAATAAGACAATACATGTAAAGTGCTTAAAACAGCGCCTTGCACGTGTCAGGACCATGTAGTGCTGGTCATTGCTATTTAATGCTGGGTTAGCAGTAGGGACTCAAAGATTAAAATCCGAGTATTCTCTGTTAGACCCTGGCATTTCCTGTGAAGAGGGACTCTTGCCATCTCTACGGGGCAGCATACTTGGTGATCCTTCCCCAGTGATAGCCACTGGGCCCAGTTTGATAGCTATGCTAAAGGCCTCACTCTTTCTTTTTCTTTTTTTCATATACATCCTATCTTCAGTCATTCTAGGTCTGAGACTAGCCTCAAGTCCAAAGTTTGGCTAAAGGATCTATTGACACTCAAAACTCTCACCATCAACTGGTAGGCAGTCCTTCAGTTCCTGGATTTCTTTCTCCTTGAGATCAATTCCCATGTTTTTCAAGAAAGTGTCCACCTTATTTGGAGACACCTTCACCCCTTAGGAAAGAAAGGGATAGGATATGAAAAATATTTGTAAGAGTGGGTCATTATAGATCATGCCTAGGCATCAGTACTACATAGACAATGAAGAGCAAAGAACAATTAAACCATTCAAGCAAATGTGGTTTTGGTATCTAAGTCAGGAATTCCCAAACCCTGATCTGTGGGATTCTGTTAGGACTTTTAGGAAAACATTTAAGAGAAGAAAGTGAGTAGTTAAGGGTATTAAGTCATGGCAAAGAGTAAAATCAGCCTTTATACATGTGTTTGCACAGAAGAATTCAAAACTTGCTAAATTAATGGAGAATTATAAATCCATCCATCCATCCAACCAACCACCAATCCATTCAACCAACCATCCGTTGAGCCAGACAGACAACCAATCCATGGAATTTACTTTATCATAATCCTCTGGGAAACATTTAAGAACATATGTTTCTAGATACTATCTCTGGAAATTCAAGATCGATATGACTGGGAAGGGGCCTAGTGATTTGAATGCTTTATTTTTCCCCCTTGTGATTCTGGTGTACAGCTTTATTTGGGAACCACTGCTTTTGGGTTACTGTATTTAAACCATTTTAGTGACTGCAGTATGCCTATATATAGAATATCTATAGATATAAAGAATATATAAGAATACATATATAACATATAAAGAATAAACACTGACTTAACAGATAGTTGGGACAGTTGGATTAATAACCTGAAAATTGTAAAATAGGATGAGTTTTTTAAAATAAAAGCAAAGCTTGATGACCTGTTTTACCTGCCTTTTCATCATGCTTCTTACTCACCTTCAAGAGACCTTAACTCTTTCATCAATCTGTTCACATACATCCTTCCTTTGTCTGTAAGAAAGGGAAAAATGCAAGTTTCAGGCAGTAGTATTGATATTTAAATGAAACATGCGTAAGTTCAGAAACATAGACTTTTAAATGTTTTATTCTAAAAATGTATATTATTTCACTTCAAAGAATAAAACTTAAGAGTGGAAACAACTCTCAATTTGGTGAAATCATTTTGGTGATGGGGGCCAGGGTGGGGGGGATGAAACAGTCCTTAAATAGGGAGTATTAGTTACAAAAGTCCACATACTTAACTTTCCTTAAAGGCCACTGTGATTTTTTCCCCCCACTGTGATATTTTTAATGCTTACCATCGACTGGAAGCTTGTTTTGTAGTTCCATGCCTTTATCTTCTGTGAGCGTCATCCCCATATTTCCCAGAAAAGTTTCCATGTTACTCATATCAATCTTCTCACCTTTAAAAAGCAAAAGATGGTAATGGTTGAAAATCTGCAGAATGATGATCCTATATTATAAAAAATGCCCATATGGCATTTGTTGATTAAATAATGAAGTAAACCTGACAAGAATGCCAGCTAAGACATAACCTTAGAGCTTTTTGGCTAAAACAGTGATGATCAAATTTAAGCTGGGAGTCAGTAGATGCAAACATTCACCAGTATATAGGTAGAGTGAGAGAACAATCTATAAGGAAAATAATGCTGTTGAAATATAATTTTGTGCAAACACTAAAATCTTGGTTTTGCAGAGTCTTCTTAATTATATATCATGGAACCATACAGGGCTTTTCTCCAGGGGCTTCTTTCTTAACCCAGACTGGCTCTCTGTCCTGCCTCAGGGATTTGGTGGGCTTAGTTTCTTCTCTTCTTGGCAGCTACTACCACCCAGTATACTTTTTGGGCTTCCCTAAGGGTGGCTATGAAATTAGATGCAGTCTTCCAAGCTCACTTCTTTTCAGTGTCCCAGGAAAACTAGCACACAGATATTTTTATTCTTAGGGCTATAATATAAAGTGCTACAGTGAGACAGACAAGGGAACACCACACTATCCCCAAAATGGGTAAGACACAAAGCTAACAAGTTTTGTTTGGTAATGGACTTGGTTTTAGTTCCTGGTTAGAAGGGTGGGAATCACCACTTATCCTTGCCCCCTGTAGCCATTTCCCAAATCTGCTTGCGGGATGGCTGTGTGAAACTTTCCTTCACGATGCCTCTTCCCTCTAGCTTAAAGATGCGGTTTAGCAACAAAAACAACAAAATGGTAATTATGTGAGGTGAAGAATGTATTAACTAACCATATTATGGTAAACATTCTGAAATACATATGTGTATCAAACCATCACGTTGTATACCTTAAACTTACACAATGTTATATATCAATTATATCTCAATAAAGCTGGGGTGGGGAGGGGGAAGATGCTATTTAGGTAGGCAGTTTGGACCTCCTAATCATTTCCAATTCCAGAAAAAAGAGAACTCTTGCTTTTAGTCCTCTGGAACCATACTGCAGTGCTTCCATTGGGAGGATAATATCTGGGGAATTAGCCAGTCTTCTGCACAAGTGCCTGGGAGGAAACCTGCACAATGGTTGTTCTCCCCCAACTGCTTCAGACTTCTTCCGTGATGCCTTGGACTAGTGGAGCTTCTGATATCCTGTCTCCCCCTGCCCGCCCCCCTGCCCCGCCCCTGGTAACCAGCCAAGGGAATGACTTTTCAGACGCAACAGAGCAATTTCCTAGTCTGCTACCTTGATCACGTTTTGACAGACATGAGCCTTCTGCCTCAAGATTATCAGTCTAACCACACCTTCTATCTGTATCATTCCCAATCTTCAAAATGTAAGCCCACAAAATTTTATATCCTCTTTAATGTATTCTGTGTCTACCGCTCTGATTTTTCTTTCCATTGTTAGCTTTGTTTTCACCTTCCCATAGTGCCCTCTCAGACTCATATTTTATTAAATATGAATTTCTCTATATCTTCAGTCTCTTTACAGACTCTTATCTTCTTTCCTAACTGAACTTTGCCTGTTCCTGATATTTCCCTTTTCTTTTTTTTTCCTTTGAGAGAAAACTGCTCTTTTTTCTATATCCCATTTGCCTTAGGGCGTGCAATCTCCTAGATCCTGATTGCTGTTTTTTTGGCCATACTCAAACCTCTCCTCTTGTGAGAATTATGATATTTGGATTTCTTTTTATTGTCACTGATTTTTTTGGTCACTTAAGGAGCTTGTCCCATTAACTCACAGTCTTCCTCTGCACCCAAATTCCTGGCATCGTTATAGGGAATACCAGTCTTTATATGGATAGTTCATTCCACAACCTGGCCTCCAAATTTCTTGAGCTCATTATCCTCAATGACTGTCTCTTAAATTCTATACTAGTTAACCATCATGGATATCCTGAACTTTGTCATCACCTGGAAATGCTTTGCCTCTAAAATCTTAAATTCTAACAAAACTATTTTTGGCCAGAACCTCATATTCTTCCACTTCTTTTACTTCCTTACTCCTACCACACCCATTATCATTTCTACAGAGACTTTCATTCCCTCCTCTCTCACTTTTCTCCAAGTTCATAGTTTCCATCATAACTTCACTTTTCTTATCCACTCTAGACCACTTGACCACTCTCTTGACTACCTCTTTCTGTGTCTTTATGCTTTCATTCTTTTGGCACATCAGACTTAAGGATCTTTGATTTTGGTGCAACTGAAGAATATCATAATCATGTGAAAATTGCCATTACTTATTTTTTTATTTTTTAAATTAAATTAAAATCAGTTAATTAACATATAGTGTATTATTGGTTTCAGAGGTAGAGTTCAGTGATTCATCAGTTGTTTATAACACCCAGTGCTCATTATATCATGTCCCCTTCTCAGTGCCCATCACCCAGTTACTCCATCCCCTTGAGAGGATGCGGAGAAAGGGGAACCCTCTTACACTGCTGGTGGGAATGCAAGCTGGTACAGCCACTCTGGAAAACAGTATGGAGGTTCCTCAATAAGTTAAAAATAGAACTACCCTACGACCCAGGTATTGCCATTATTTATTTATGACATCTGACTGTGGTTAGACTCTTGGCACTTCTCAGAAAGGCTTTCATATATTCCTCATCAACTCTAGTTCCTATTCTCTATCAGAGTTATCCCAAATTATAAACACTTTCTTTAAAGTCCTCTACCCCACCACTGGGCCCTTTCTTTTCATAGATGATTCTGTTTCCTACTATACAGAGAAAATTGAAGCTTTTAGGTAAAATCCTCTTAATTTTACTCCCACATGTATATAGATTCTCGATATCTGTATCCTTCCTGGCTTGAAGTCTGCTTGTCTCAGAAAGAGAGGTGGTCCCAGATTCTTACCTATTTAACTGCTTAGGGTTCAGTCTCCCTTAGATGTCTTACAGGAAGCTCAAACCCAATATGATCAAAATGGAAACTATATCTTTACTTCTAAATTTATTTTACTGAATTTCCTTACTTTGGTCAATGTCACTGTCACCCACCCAACTACCCAGCTCAGAAACTGAGGTGTCATCCTCCAATCCATCCTTTCACTCTGTCTCTATACCTGATCAGTAACCAAATTCTACAGATTCTACATCCATAACATCTCTTCTATATGTCCCTTCCTCTCAAGTCTGACAGAGAATGATTTACTTCTGCCCTTTATTGTCTTTTGCCTGGACAATTACAATATGCTCTCTAACTAGTTTCCTTGACTCTATCTTGTACATATACCTCCATCCATCCTTTATACTTCTGCTAGAGCAAGGTTTCTAATTTGCAAAGCTAATCACACAGACTCCTGCTTAAAATCCTGGAATGACTCCCCATTCTCTGCAGGATGAAATTCATACTACTTTACTAGGTGTTCAGGGCTCTCTGTGATTTGTCCCTTATATTAGTTTCCTATTGCTGTAACAAATTACCAAAAACATGGTGGTGTAAAACAATACAGATTTTTTTCTCTTATAGTTCTGGAGGTCAGAAGCCCCAAATTAGTTTCACTGAGCTAAAGTCAAGGTGTTAGCTGGGCTGGTTCCTTTAGGAGACTCTCAGGAGGAATCTGTTCCCTTGCCTATTTTATTTCTAGAGGCTACTTACACTCCTTAACTTACTCCCCTTCTTCTGTATTCAA